GCGCAAATAATGTAACAACGTGTTACGTAAAACCCAGACATGTTCACCAATTGAAGATTGCATTGATGTCTGAAACTCCATGTTGGACAGTGGAGCCAATTAGAAGTAGATATGAAACATTGATATGTCAATGGAAAGTGTTTTAGTTTTAATGTTTAGCTGTTTTCATACAAAAAAATGTGAGATTAATCCCCGGGACGGAATATGTTCGGCATTGTTTAAGCCGTGTCAAACAGAACCACAGGCACTGGTCAAAATTACCCACTTTCTTCACAAAATTACCCACTTTCTTCACAAAATTACAAACATATAAATCTATGTATTTTATATGAGCTCTTATTTCTCTGAATAAATGGAAATTTAGATTAACATAAATAATTGGTAGAATGCAAATTTATTGAATTGCTCCATTTTAGAAATTATTCAACACTTTAAAGACATTAAAATGAAACTCTGGTAATTCCATCTAACTTACTCCATAGAAAAGTACTTGTAGATCCTTGTCACTATTGACCATTCAGGCCAGCTGTAATAAGTTTAACAAGAGGCCCATGGGCCTTAACGGTCACCTGAGTCTATAGTATTTATTTTTGTTGTTGAAATATGTACCAATTTGAGTAAAAAATAGTATAATGTTAACTTAACTTTGTCAGGACCATGAGCTGATCATTCCTAGACCAATTTTAAGTGAGATCGGCCTATTAGAACTTAGTAGCAAAATAGCGGCCATGGCAGCCAAATTGTATTTCTGATTGACCCGAAAAATAACAACACTTTGTCAGGACCATGATTCGATCATTCCTACAAAGTTTCAGTTCAATCGGCCAAGTAGATCTTTACTTTAAGTTTGAAATAGTTTACCAAAATGGCAGCTGTGGTGGCCATATTGGATTTCTGATCGACCTGAAAAATAACAACACTTTGTCAGGACCATGAGTCAATCATTCCTACAAAGTTTCAGTTCAATCGGCCTAGCAGAACTTGACTTTAAGTTTGAAATATGTTTTCAAAATGGTGGCCGTGGCGGCCATATTGGATTTATGATTGACCTGAAAAATAACAACACTTTGTCAGGACCATGAGTCGATCATTCCTACAAACTTTAAGTTCAATCGGTCCAGCAGAACTTGACTTTAAGTTTGAAATAGGTTTTCAAAATGGCGGCCGTGGTGGCCATATTGGATTTCTGATCGACCCAAAAAATAACAACACTTTGTCAGGACCATGAGGCGATCATTCCTACCAACTTTCAGTTCAATCGGTCCAGCAGAACTTGACTTTAAGTTTGAAATAGGTTTTCAAAATGGTGGCCGTGGCGGCCATATTGGATTTCTGATCGACCCGAAAAATAACAACACTTTGTCAGGACCATGAGGCGATCATTCCTACCAACTTTCAGTTCAATCGGCCCAGCAGAACTTGACTTTAAGTTTGAAATGTAAAATGTTAACGGACGACGGACGACGGACGACGGACGACGACGGACGAAAACGGATAGCAATAGGTCACTTGAGCTAAAGCTCAGGTGACCTAAAAAGTGCACAGATATCTAATAAATATAGTCCATCTGATGAATAACAAAAAATAAAACACTGGTCAACATGCTAGCAGCTACCATACCACTCTCATCCACTTAGCCTATCACAAAATTACAGGAAACAACTTGTCCCATAATCATTTAAGATGCATGTCCAAATACAACATTGACTTTGGTTTTCAATTTCAGAGTGTTGCTCAAAATACCAAAAAGATTCTCCGCCTCCTTAAATGTCAACTGTTTTTGCTGACTTGTATAAGACACCATTTGCTGACTTGTATAAGACACCATCTGTTGACTTGTATAAGAAACCATTTACTGACTTGTATAAGACACCATTTGCTGTCTTGTATAAGACACCATTTGTTGACTTGTATAAGAAACCATTTTCTGACTTGTAAAAGACACCATTTGCTGCCTTGTATAAGACACCATTTGTTGACTTGTATAAGACACAATTTGCTGACTTGTATAAGACACCATTTGTTGACTTGTATAAGACACCATTTGTTGACTTGTATAAGACAACATTTGCTGACTTGTATAAGACACCATTTACTGACTTGTATAAGACACCATTTGCTGACTTGTATAAACCACCATTTGTTGACTTGTATAAGACACCATTTGCTGACTTGTATAAACCACCATTTGTTGACCTGTATAAGACACCATTTGCTGACTTGTATAAGACACCATATGTTGACTTGTATAAGACACCATTTGTTGACTTGTATAAGACGCCATTTGCTGACTTGTATAAGACACCATTTGTTGACTTATATAAGACACCATTTGTTGACTTGTATAAGACACCATTTCCTGCCTTGTATAAGCCACCATTTGCTGATATGTATAAACCACCATTTGTTGACTTGTATAAGACACCATTTGCTGACTTGTATAAGACACCATTTACTGACTTGTATAAGACACCATTTGCTGATATGTATAAACCACCATTTGTTGACTTGTATAAGACACCATTTGTTGACTTGTATAAGACATCATTTGCTGACTTGTATAAGACACCATTGAGTGAGCTTATGGTTATATCTACATTTCTTTTCACACCACATTGCGTATGTTTTGAATTGTCATTCTGCCACATGACATGAAAGATGTGAGTATATTACAATGGTGAACTTTACAATGACTTGCCATTCTTTAAAAAGTAATCATTCAACATTATACAATGCTTTTAAAATTAATGTCAATAAAAACAAATTGTTTGTACGACAAATACCATTCCCTTATTTCAGAACTAACAAAATCAGATCTAATAGTTTATCAACGGTAGAGTCTATAACATAGACTGGTCCTTTCACTCATCCGTAACTTTTCACACAGATATTGAACAGGAACAAGTAACAATATCACAAACTGTGAAGTACATTATGTAAAGCTGTTGTAGACACATTCCATATAAAATTAATGTACGTTTTGTACAGCTAAATTGTAAGATGGAAATACTCCACACAAACTTGATAAAAATTCTAAGTAAAAATTAAAAATGCACAATGACATCAGAAGGGAGAAGCTTGGTGCTGGACAGTGTCTACACTAAAGAGTGCCAGATGAGACTGGTGGGTTTTCCAAATGAGTTGTTTACCAATACATGTCCGCTTTTTCGTTAGCACATTGAGACATCTGGATTTTTTTCTAGGTCCCTTGAAACCCCATGCTAGTATTCTAGGACTGATCTGGTATACAGGAGAACCACATCAACCACTTTTGGTTCCATAAATAAAATGAGGAAAAACAAAATTATACAGACCATCACGGCAGTTTCACTGTTGTTTTTTTTGTTACTTACGGTGGTCATTCAGTGACTCTGTAAAATCTACAAAGTCAGTCAGTATGGGAGCAACACAGAGATGTTACATCCATGTTTGTGGGCCACAGGGCCATGCTGTCCATCTGTAAGGACACATGAAGCTATGGTTCCGGACATAGGGACCTGACATCCATAAGGAGCAGACGTTCATGTGGGAGAGACACTGTGACAAAGTCTTCTGGTGAAAATTGCTTTAGAATTACCTACAGAGACTAATGCTATAAATTGTACAGATTCAACACATATATAAGACAAACCATTGGTTTTATCTGCGACTTAGATATGTAAACACATTCAGGAGATGCAGGTTTTGAAGAAATGGCAGTTATAAGCTTCAGATCTCCGGGTCACAGTCTAACTAGCAAATATATAATAATTGAATAAAGCAGGAGTTTTGCTTTGGGTTTCCGCAATATCATTAGATCTCGGTAAGCAAAATTAGAATCACACAATTTACTATAACAATAAGGACAAAACTGTTCTCAAACCATATATCACAGTGTTGTTTCAGTACATACACAATGTTGTATTTACAAGGGGAGAAAACATCTCATCACAGACAAATCTATTGGGATCTCATTACCATGAAACCACATAAGTACAGTACAACAATTTGATCCAATTTATCCTTTAAAATCAATCCACAATGCAACCTGACAATAATGATTGACGACCATGATTTAAAGTTCTGTTGCGGCGTCCACAAGAAAAGAACGCTATGCATTACATACCCGGAACTAAATGTAGCACCAACTAGGTTAGTAGTCACTTTTTTTTAACAGGATAACACAACAGGTTTTTAAGATCATATTGTTAAATTGAGTACCTGTTGCTGAAATTTACCAGAATGATTGATTTATAAAGCATACTGTTTCCAGTAACAGCCCACCCACATAACAGGATCAGAAATATTGGCATCAAATGTATGTTTTAAAGTTTTCAAAACAAAACAAATCCCTCAAAATGCCTGAAAACAATCCCTAACCCAGTTTAGATACCGGAAGTTTAAAAACCCTCATAGGGGATTGGTATAATCAAGTGTTTATGAGGGGGAGGGAGCACATATTGAAAAGATGCTTTCAAAATTCATAAACAGGATTTAATGCTTTAGCCTGTGAAGTAGAGAGTCGGAAATAATTTCAACAAGGGTGTTTAATAGAATTAATAAGGAACTGTACTTCAGAGTTTGCTACCAATAACAGCCAGAGATTATAATCAACAATATGGAATAAATAATTAAACAAATGAAGGCAATTTATGTAGTGGCTCATTAGCTTTAGGCGAGGTCCATGTGGAATGATATACCTACCATCAATGATTGATGTAACAAATACCGACAGGTAAGTGTAACAAATACCGACAGGTATGTTCTCTTGCTCTCCAAATGATCAGGCCATGATCATTATAACTAACAAAACAACTTCTGCATTTTTTGCAGATTTTCCAACATCTGTTTGTGTAATTACATAAAGGGTGGAATAGCAACCATCACACGGCAGCTCCCCTCTCTATCCAACATATACCAATAGCTGAGCACTTACTCTCAGTCCACATTCAACATATAGGATCATAGGAGTAGCATGCCAAGAAAATATCTGTCTCATCCAAGTAGACACAACAACAACATAATACATAATGTCTTTTTATCTTACCTTTTAAACATTTAACACTTCATTATCAATCAAAAAGACACTAATAACCTCATTTTCTTATAAAATGAACACGGCATAATGAAGTTAAAACTTGAAATTGAAAGTATATACTTCCAACAAAATTGAGTACATAATTTCGCCATTCCATAGCTTTGCCAACTGCTACTGTCATGTGTAGGTCAGAGGAAGGACTTGACACAAGTATTCACTGAAGATAATCCCAATATATCACTAGCACTGGCCGCCAGACGTTTTCGTAACATCTAAAGTACATTGTCCATACTTGGCACTTAGTTGTCATTATATGTTACTGAATTCCATCACTTTAAATACCTGAAAATTTGAAAGAAATAGAATTACTCATATTGCAGAAACAGATAAAAAAAAAATGTTAACTGATTGAAACAGGCTTTCTGATGATGAATTAACCAAATTATAATCTATCACAGTATATGTACTCTATCACGGTATATGTACTCTATCACAGCATATGTACTCTATCATGGTATATATATGTACTCTATCATGGTATATATATGTACTCTATCACGGTATATATATATGTACTCTATCATGGTATATATATATGTACTCTATCACGGTATATATATGTACTCTATCACGGTATATGTACTCTATCATGGTATATATATGTACTCTATCACAGTATATGTACTCTATCACAGTATATGTACTCTATCACAGTATATGTACTCTATCACAGTATATATATGTACTCTATCACAGTATATGTACTCTATCACGGTATATATATGTACTCTATCACAATATATGTACTCTATCACGGTATATATATGTACTCTATCACGGTATATATATGTACTCTATCACGGTATATATATGTACTCTATCACGGTATATATATGTACTCTATCACGGTATATATATGTACTCTATCACGGTATATATATGTACTCTATCACGGTATATATATGTACTCTATCACGGTATATATATGTACTCTATCACGGTATATATATGTACTCTATCACGGTATATATATGTACTCTATCACGGTATATATATGTACTCTATCACGGTATATATATGTACTCTATCACGGTATATATATGTACTCTATCACGGTATATATATGTACTCTATCACGGTATATATATGTACTCTATCACGGTATATATATGTACTCTATCACAGTATATATATGTACTCTATCACGGTATATATATGTACTCTATCACGGTATATATATGTACTCTATCACAGTATATGTACTCTATCACGGTATATATATGTACTCTATCACAGTATATGTACTCTATCACAGTATATGTACTCTATCACAGTATATATACTCTACCACAGTATATATACGCTATCATGGTATATATATGTACTCTATCACTGTATATGTACTCTATCACGGTATATATATGTACTCTATCACAGTATATGTACTCTATCACAGTATATGTACTCTATCACAGTATATATACTCTACCACAGTATATATACGCTATCATGGTATATATATGTACTCTATCACTGTATATGTACTCTATCACGGTATATATATGTACTCTATCACAGTATATGTACTCTATCACGGTATATATATGTACTCTATCACAGTATATGTACTCTATCACAGTATATGTACTCTATCACGGTATATGTACTCTATCACGGTATGTATATGTACTCTATCACAGTATATGTACTCTATCACAGTATATGTACTCTATCACAGTATATATACTCTACCACAGTATATGTACGCTATCATGGTATATATATGTACTCTATCACAGTATATGTACTCTATCACAGTATATGTACTCTATCACGGTATATGTACTCTATCACGGTATATGTATGTACTCTATCACGGTATATGTACTCTATCACAGTATATATATGTACTCTATCACAGTATATGTACTCTATCACGGTATATATATGTACTCTATCACAGTATATATATGTACTCTATCACAGTATATGTACTCTATCACAGTATATGTACTCTATCACAGTATATATATGTACTCTATCACGGTATATATATGTACTCTATCACAGTATATGTACTCTATCACGGTATATGTACTCTATCACGGTATATATATGTACTCTATCACGGTATATGTACTCGATCACAGTATACATACATGGTGTGTTGTGAGTGTGTGTTGTGATGGTGTGTGTTGTGATGGTGTGTGTTGTGAGTGTGTGTTGTGATGGTGTGTGTGTTGTGATGGTGTGTTGTGAGTGTGTGAGAGAGAGTATGTGTGTGTGTGTGTGTGTGTGTGTGTGTAGGTGTGTGTGTGTGTGTGTGTTGTGAATGTGTGGGGTGAGTGTGTGTTGTAAATGTGTGTTGTGAGGGTGTGTTGTGTGTGTGTTGTGAGGGTGTGTTGTGAGGGTGTGTGTTGTAAGGGGGTGTGTTGTGAGGGTGTGTGTTGTGAGGGTGTGTGTTGCAGCTTGCAGTGTTTGGGTGGGGGCTTTGCGGTAAGAATTTGTATTGTAGTGACGGATGTTCGGATGGGGTAGTGATGTGAGGATTTGGGTCGTAGTGTAAAGTTCTGGGGTTGGAATGTCAGGTGCGGTGTGCTGGTTGTGTGAGTCGTGTTCTAGTATCAGGAGATGGGTGATGGTTTTGTTGCAAGTGAATTGTGAGGGGTTAGGTTGAATCATCAAATGTACCTCATTTTGGATGGTGGTTGTATTGTGAGAGTTGAGTTGTTACTATTCAATGTGGTGTGGTGGTTGTGTTGTGAGAGTGGGGGTGTTACTATTCAATGTGGTGTGGTGTGGTGGGTGTGTTCTGAGAGTGGGGGTTGTTACTATTCAATGTGGTGAGAGTGGGGTTGTTACTATTCAATGTGGTGTGGTTGTTGTGTTGTGAGAGTGGGGGTTGTTACTTTTCAATGTGGGGTGGTGGTTGTGTTGTGAGAGTAGGGTTGTTACTATTCAATGTGGTGTGGTGGTTGTGTTGTGAGAGTGGGGTTGTTACTATTCAATGTGGTGTGGTGTGGTGGTTGTGTTCTGAGAGTGGGGGTTGTTACTATTCAATGTGGTGTGGTGGTTGTGTTCTGAGAGTGGGGGGTGTTACTATTCAATGTGGTGGGGGGGTTGTGTTGTGATAGTGGGGTTGTTCCTATTCAATGTGGTGTGGTGGTTTGGTGTGGTGTGGTGGTTGTGTTCTGAGGGGGGGGGTTGTTACTATTCAATGTGGTGTGTTGGTTGTGTTGTGAGAGGGGGGTTGTTACTATTCCATTTGGTGTTGGGTTGTGGGTGTGTTCTGAGAGTGGGGGTTGTTCCTATTCAATGTGGTGTGGTGGTTTGGTGTGGTGTGGTGGTTGTGTTGTGATATCATAGTGGGGTTGTTACTATTCAATGTGGTGGGGTGGTTGTGTTGTGAGAGTGGGGGTTGTTACTATTCAATGTGGTGTGTTGGTTGTGTTGTGAGAGTGT